TTTTTTTGTAAATATTCTTGGTTAATCTATGTGCTGATAAAAATTCATAATTTATCGTCGAAGCTGTTTGTTACTTAATTATTAAATTTTTTTTTTTTTTTTGGTATACGAATACAAGGGCTTTTTTTATCAATATAAATTATATTATGGATTTCTTTCTATAAATTCATATTCGATTTCTAAAATTCCTGTTAAAAGAATGGTAATCTTTTAAAAGTATGAGCTATTAAAATGCACATAAAAACGCTCTCACAATCGAAATGAGTCATATATCCGACAAGTTCATCAATACTTTTTCCGCTTCGATGCAATGTGACTAATTAATCCTATACCTCAGTTCCGAGAAATTTCATTTTGAAATCCCTCTTCGCCATTTTTTCTTTTACTTTTTTCTTATCGTTGTTGGACATATTAATCCTCTGAAAAGAAAATCGCTGTTAAGGTGGAACGTGCAAAATAAATTACACACGTTAGGAAAGAAAATGAATATCATCGTTTCAGGACTCTCTTCACTACGCTCATTTTCTATTCATTATTTACCCGCCCTTTACTCAATATGAATACATCACGAGACCAATCAACGAATTTCAAAATATTATTTAAATATAAATTATAATTTTAAAGTAAGTAAAACAAATAAGTCATAATATAAATATCGCAAGCCCAATGTACATACACACACACACACACACACACACACACACACACACACACACACACATATATATATATATATACATACATTGCTTATTAATAAATCGAATTTTTTTTTATAATGTCCTTCATAAAAAATGTAATATCCACAAGATGCATCGATCAGATCACATTAAGAGAATTGTAAGTTATATCCCAATAGCTGTCAAACATCGTTAAATACAAGTAAACAAGGTCGACGCATCGTACGTATATACAACAATATGGGACAAATTTTTACTTAGTTCACTACTATTATAAGAATAATCAATAATAGTGAGTACTATTTCATTACGTACATTTACATATATTCGATCATCTTTCTTTTCATTTTTTCTTACGATAATGGATTTAGCTAAACAATTAATAATTAAAAAAAATTTTTTTTTTCCTACTAATAATACGTATATTTCCAATGAATAAATTCTTAATTCGTTATCTGTGAATAAATACAAAACTGCGAAGTACCAAAATTAATAAAAATTGATATAAATCTTTAAAATTATATCAAGAAATCATTGAAGACATGTAACACTGTATTCTTAGTTGATCAAAAGAAGAAAAAAACTCTAATGTCTCATTTCGTGACTTTAAAATACAAAACGAATCTTAAATAATAAAGATTATTATTTCTGTATTTAACATTCTACTGGTTGCCTTACTTGATGATTTTATACTCAACAATCTAACATTTATTTTTAAATATCAATAAACATCTTTCATAGCACGATTATATTCGTCTTCAAAAGTGTGCGCGCTCGAATTTTAAATAAATACGGTAATACAATAGTAATAATAATTTACTTTTGGTGTATTTATTTATTATTTAGTCAGTCGTATTAACAACTAATATTGAAAAAAGTAGTAGTCTTTATATTCAAAAAGATGGCTTACAAACCCGATAGTCAAATACACTTGGACAAAGCAACTAACCTGTTGGATTAATTATAAACTAATTAAATACTAAACGTCTTTTCAACCTTAATTTGCATCGACCTCTAGAAGGAAAATTCTACAGAATTTTCAATCGCAACAACATTGCATCACGAGAACCAAAAAGAAAAAAGAGTGAGATCGAGACCCATCGCTGTACGAGACCGAAATAAATAAAAGGAAAAGTCAAGTCGTGTATGTTAATGAAGTCGAATTTGCATATTCCTATTTAGGGTGTTCTGCCATTAGCACATCGAACCCCGAGCGTACGCACGCATCCACACACACACACACACACACACACACACACACACACACACACAAAAGCATAGTTATAAAGTACACGGTTCTCAAGTATCGATTGCAGCATCTCTCTTCCACCCTCTCCGTCCCCCCGTCACACACACACACGCGCGCGCGCGCTCGCACACACACGCACCAAACAAAACTTCATACCCAACTCATTCCCAAAAGAGATCGCCCCCTTCAACACCCTTCCTTTGTTTCAACGCAATAGTTATTCGTTCTCTTATTCCTTTTCCTCGTGAACAATACACGTACGCGATATTACAGGCACCGGTTTACGAGTCTGTAGCTTAAAATACTAAATATTCTACTTATTTACTGCAAAATACATTTCGTACAGGTTTGTAATGGGACCAAGATTTTCACCTTACTTGCCTTTTAAAATAAAAAATGTTCACGATTCAACGATACGTTAATTATCGATTATTAATGTACAATTTACGTTATTATCATATCGATCTGAAATTGTACAATGTTAAGAAGATAAATTCTTTCAATCAAACAAAATGTAACTTTATTCTTGTTTTTTATTCGATAAAATTTTTTTTATATAATTTCATAATTGTGCGAAATTATTTTATTCGGTTATTCTTGATTACGATTTGCGCGAAGAAAAAAATAACATAATTGAAGTATATAAATTTAACTGAGTGGCTTTATAAAAAATAAGAAAGAAAAAAAATGAATTTCGATTTTTCGCAACACTATGGAATGCTTTTTCTTCTGCAGTTCATACTTTATAAAATGTCGCCATTTGCTTTCAAACATCTGACGTATAAGTTTCAGCTCGCATTTATACTATTCTTTATACTTGCTATCTCTCATTCAATTTCTTTTTGATTGTCTCCAGTTTCTTGAAAAACTTGTACAGTTTCGCCATCTTTATATTTCTTTTCATGCTTGTTTTGTCTCGCAGCTCATCTTCTTTCTTTTATGTCCCCTTTACAGAGTACGTCGAGAAGAAGATGTTCTCCTTCCTTTCATGGTTTGCGATATTATAACGGGATATTGAGTTACTCGTTGATTTAGTCGCATCGTGGCTCTTGCCTCAGACGTGAACTTTAAATTAAAACCTAACTTTATCACTGTAATCGACATAGAAACGTAACCTTTGCACGGACGAAAACTATGTTGAAATAAACCAGAACGAGAATATGCGATTTGCGGAAACTGGAAGTACGAATCCCAAGTGCGACGAGTTGTTCTATGCTTCCATTAGTTATTGAAACAAATTGTTGTTTAAGAAAGATTTTCTTCAATTATATGTCGCTAAATTTATAATTATTTACCGAGATAATTTAAATAATGATACAATAATGAGAAATGTCGGCCAATGTTTATTATAAAAAAAAAAAAAAAAAAAAAAAAAAAAAAAAAAAAAACTTTTCTGCCTTCAAAGTAAAATTTCTAATAAAAAATACATTTTTACAACTCGAATGAAATGTTTTGTATTTCATAAGATGATAAAATAACGATTCTTCTTAATCAATGAATGAAATTTTACTCCAAACGATCATGCGTAAACTATCATCATAATAACATATTATAAACTCATGTTCATAACATATTGTTTATCTCATTTTTCAAATCAAATAACACTTGCACATTTCGAGGCGATGTAACGACTATGTCAAAGCTATAAAGCTTAAAAGCCAGGGTATGATCGCCTGTAAGTGCACTAAATACGAGATACTACTAAGAGAAAAAAAATGGCTCCGAAGTTTCAGTTAAAATTTAAAATGCGTCCTCAAAATATCATCCACGATAAACTTTTTAATTCTTACTCATAATTTGAATTTACATAAATAGTAAGTTTTAACAAAATAATAATTTAATAATGTTCTTCTGCTATGACTGCTTCTACTTAAATTCTATATTGAATGTACAGAAAAGTATCGAAACTTTTATCAAAGTTTTTCAAATTTGTAATTTCAAAACAAAATTATACTTTAGATTAGAATCAAATTTTTAAAATAGGATCGGTGCAGCATAGCTTTAATATTAACATTTTCACTTCCATTCGTGTAAATTTTTCACTCACTGTAGCTTTGCACTCTAACTGAAACGAAATACGTTTTTATAAACCAACTGTCTCACACAATGGTCCATGCACTAAATTCTTAAAGTTAACTAAAATTCAGAGTCAGGAAATTGCAGTATTAAACTTTCACGTTATTGTCTACTTTATAGTTTCACTTGGAGTTTTATTTAGAATATAGCATTGTAATTATATGTATATAACATAAATGATTTAAACGCGAGTATGTTTGTGCGCGCGTGTGTATGCGTGCGTGCGCAAATCTAATTAATTAATTATGCTTATAATTAAAATCCTCGATATGCATACGATTAGTATTTTAATATTAATATTTAAACGTACATTATCAATAAATCACGCATTTCATATTTAATTATAAGAAACATCGTAATGACATTGAATGTAGTTAAAATTTTCTCACAATGAAATGACGATTCAAACAAAAATTTACAATAGAGATTTTTATGAACTGTGCCATTCATTTTCTTTACTTTGTACAACGATCCAACAATACTCTACTATTTGTACTGAAATATATTAGTACATAATAAATGCTATTAGTATATAATAAATATCAATGTTCATAAAATAAATATTTATTGTCAAATGGAAATATTTTTTAAAACAAAATCAATTTTAATATCAAATTTGCTAATCTTTACGCTTTGCAAGAAATACTTGGTATAAAACATCATTACTAGAGATCCTTTGTAAAGCCAACAACTTCCAACAAAAATTTCCAACAGTCTCCAAAAATAAACTTCAAACTCCTCACACTCCTTTAAAATTTAAAAAAATTCTCATGATGTAATATCGATTTAAGTTTAATCGTCAAAACATTAAGGTATCCTTACAATACATTAAAAAATATGTATAATTTAAATATTGAAACATTGTTTTATTGCTTTATTTGCATTTTCGTGAGCAAAATAAGATTATGATCACGGTGATGATGATCATCATCATGATGATCATGATGATAACGATGACAATTACAATAATAATAATAATAAACTAAAACAGCACTAACCTTCTCCAAACTTCTTGGATGCGCCAAATGCGGTGAGTGGTCTCTTCCATCCCCGCCAGTTATTGCATATGGACTCGGGCTCGGTGCTCCAGCTGCATAGCGAGTCCTCCTCGAACCTGTCCGAGTCCTCGAAGGAGAACCTGTCGTTCTCCTCCCAATCAAGTATGGGGGCGGCGGCGCTCCCATCGGCGGCGGCTGTGTGAGCCGCGGCAGCTGCAGCGGCCGCGTGGGCCCTGCTACCCCCGGACCTTGAGCCATTGTTACCGCTACCGCCCCCGCCACCGGCAACCGGCGCACCACCCGTCCCGGCGCCACCAGCACCCCCGCCGGTACCGTTGCCGGGAGCCGCATTGTTGCCAGCTCCGTTACCACCGCCTCCACCACCACCGCCCACCACGACGGGGGACCGCGCCAGGTTGCCCGCCAGTTTTGGCCGCGTGTCGCGCGTCGTGCGCGCAACCCGGGGCCCTAGCGAGCCGCCCAGGGGCCTTACGTTCCTCTTCTGATCTTAACAATGATACTGGGGAGCCACAGTCGCCGGTGGCCCGCCACGTCGACAGCGAGCTCGACGCCGGCCCCCGACGCCCGCGACAGCCTATCAGCTGTTCCGGGCACGTGGACGATCGCCACGGGACTGGACTGGGTCTGCTGAAACATGACAAAGAAAGAAGAAAGTGAGTCAATATGGTGAGATTAGTTGTGACGAGGTATTATCAGCTGTTCGCAACAAGTCGTATATGCGCGCTACGCTCCAACCGGCTCATGTTCCTTTAATCAATATGTATCTTACGAAATTCTAGATGTCTAATACTTTTATAAATGTGCTTAAATACCCTTTTTAATCGATAATTTAAAATATTGTTTCATTTAGAAAAACTACATCTGAATCCCTACACAAATTTGTGATTAAACTTTAATAAGATATTCTTACGATTTGATAATATAGTTGTTGTATAAAAGTAGTGTTGTAAAATATATATATATATATATATTCAAACCAATAACTGAACTATTAAAGTGGCGATGAAAAAAAAATTTATCGAATTATAAATAATATAAAACAGGACATTTACAAAGTTCAATATTAATATGCATCGTTTTTAAAATAGTTGTATGAAGAAATCGAAACGAAAAACTTAGCTCTACAATTGCATTCAATTAAATAAACAATAGTGAAATTGCATTTAATAGAATTAGAAATTATGGGAAAAGAATGGTATAAGCGTAAACATAGATCATAGTATAAACATAATTTCGAAACTTGGGATATCAAATGCTAACAAGTATTTACCTACGCATCTTTATCTATCATAAGGACGATGATTTCCTGTTTAAAAATAACTTACATTTATCTAATTTTATAATCGTGATTCTCGACAACAAGGTCAACCTATGACGTTCGATAACCTCACAAGTATAAGCTTCCTGTCTTATGCATGACTGCATGCATACACTTGACGATAACAAAGTTCAAGGAATAAGCATCCGGTCATTTTAATATTGAGAATATGTGTGCCGAGCGACATTCACGCGCGCCAACTATTTACAAATAAGAATTATCGATGACAGCGTCTAAACAGTACACACTTTTTCGCTTCACCTCGTATAAACATTAGCGAGTGGATAATAAACCAAATCTCAAAACTACGAATCAAGTCCCTGCTACGTTTATCCAACTTTACGTGAAAACACCAGTTTCCATATCTTTGAATCATACAATTATTAATATCACTACTTTGAATATCGCAATTAAAGATCTTACGCCTGTGAACCTTAAACTACGGCTGACACCAGTGCATAAAAGTACGAATCCACATATTACATGTATATATTTTAATATGTATATGTTGTAAATAAGTGTGAACCTTTAAATGTGGTTTGCCTACTACATCGTAATCAAAAATTCTTCCAAGAAGTACGTTTTACCTTACATTTGCATTCGTGCATGGATGACAATTAAAAGATTCGCTTGATTATAATTTATGCGAATAATGCAGTAACGTGTTAGGTATTAGTTAAGCATGTGAATCAATCCGTCAACGTGTGGGAAATTATTAAACGCTTTTTAAATCATTGAAACTATTTAAAACAATTATTTTAATCAATAAAAATTTATGTAACTTAAATATTTTTAAGTTTTTTTGTAACTTTTCATAGGCATTATTTTTTAATTGTTAAATTTGAATTTTTTTTCACTAAATATCAATGTACGTAGGAAAAATACAAATCTATATAATATAGTTACAATTTAGTAAACTACAATAATATAATAAAGAAATATCGATTACAAAAATAAACCTCAATATTTTTTAAGTAATTCAAATTTTTTATCATACCATTTGAAAGATTGTCCTTTTCTTTCTTAAAAATTTTGTTAATGATAATTATTAATTTTATACAACATTGCTTACAATACATTATTGATCATTATTTTAAGTAAATTAAATTAATTGATTTAGATTCACGAGATTTTAACAGTATTTTCATTTAAATGTATCGAGTATAAATATATCATTTATTGTTATATATATATATTTTTTTTTTTATTTTAAAAAATTTGATATTAAATAATTTTTGATAATTTAACAATTTTGAATAAATGCTTTTTTTAAAAAAAAAAAACTTTATTAACTATAGTGAATACAAATTTTGTCTTCTGGATAATTACGATCTTAAAGAAAATGAATTATTTAATTGACTAATTGAAGTAACATTGAAATAGACTTGATATTGCTAACATCGACAAGAAATTTAATATTGTTATTCGTAATCAATATTCATAAAAAGTAGATAAAATGTAAGAAATAAAAAGAAGCGAACTTTCGGTGGTAACTTAATGCTCAAATTGTGAATTACGAAAGAATATTTTATATAAAGAGATTAGTAATAGAATATAAATATATTAATTCGATTCAATAAAGACAATGTATATAATCATTAACATCTTATGATATTTATCTTTTACTATAAAAGCTTAATCTAGCTGAATGTTAAAACATGTTGGTAAACACAAAATGTTAAATCGATTGAAAATTTTCAGGTAATAATATTACATTAATATCATAATTTTTATTTCCGATACGATTATATTTGCTTCGTAATTGAATTTTAATGTTATTTTATTACAAAGATGCAATTTAGTTTTCATAAGCAAGGCTTGTTAAGATAAATTCATTTCGTTTTTCATTTAATACATAATTTGACGTTAAAAAAAAAATACTATGGTGTAAGATGCAATTTTTAAAATCAGATTTTAATAAGTGATTCATTAGGCATACTTATCACAAAACTTAATGATACCTTTAGAAAGTATTATGAAAAATTCAAATAATTTATTTAAAAACAAACAAACAAATAGTATTTTATCATGAAAAAAAAAACAGGCAAACCTATCGTTTTTTCATTTTAATGAAACAATAACAATATTCATAATTATAAAATTATAAAAATTTTTAATAATTAAAATTATTAATAATGTTGAGTACGGAGTCAATATAAAAATGAGAAATTAATAGATATTAAAGAGCTTTTAAACGTGCAGGAATGAAATTCAATACCTGTTATTTCTGCAATAGATGCTTTGTCACATGAACAGTAATTTTTTTTTTTTTTTATTTTATTTAACAACTATCGTCTAATTTCAGAACACTATTTCACTCTACTGTTACATTTTAAAAGCCTTAAATGGCTACCATAATGAAGCAATCTGACTTTCAATAATTGTTCCTCAACGACAAAAGCATCATATCGGAATAATAGACCCTTGGCTCAGAAGTAACGTGGTACCATACCTAAATAATGCCTCGAGCGAATGTCGAAAGAGCAAACTACCTCGCGCATATTGCAGACCTTGTGACATACTAAGACTAAGGTTAAACTAGCCCCGACCATCGTAACGAAACTCTTTTCCCAATGGATTCGAACAGACGACAAGGATCGCGTGCGCAAGACGTGTAGCAAAAAGTCGTTATCGTGTTAACGGAAGGCCTTGCAAGCTTTCGCGCATCTAACACAATAATAATCATAATTCCGTTACTTTGAGCAGCTTCCACAGTACGTACGTCCAATGCTTGGAGAGGTGGGAGAAGGCGATTATAGATATCGAAGAAAAAAAGAAGTTTGGCCGATATCCACTACATAATCGCGCTCTCTATAGCAATAATCATACAAGATACCATTGTACAGCCGCGACCTTGTATATAAATATAAAAGAAATGTGTAGATTTTTTACAAGACATCAGAAATTGTAGCTCAACTTTAAATGAATGTAAGGATTAGGCGTTACGCTAATTTTCAATTGAATTGTAAGTATCGCGTTCTTTGGAGTAAAGTTTTCTAATGAATTAAGAGGAGGAAAAAAAAAATACTTTGTTGATTAAGATAAGATTTCCCATATAATGTTTTTGCTTTCTGTTTTAAAGTTATTTTACCATATACTAAGTGAGTAGTAATTCGGCCATTATACATAAGGCAATGATTATATGAAACGTTGAGACGCTATTATACTTCATTACGTCTTGAGAGATACAATTTATCAATAAACGAAACTAATCGACACTATCATAAAACCATTCAAGAATGCAATAATTTTAACTGTAGATTTCCCCTTAATTTATAATACTTAAACAGAATACTATTTACTGTAGTACTCTCGAAAAGAAAAAGCTACATTCAGAGTAAGGCGCTCCTGTTGTTAACTCGACTAGTACAAATCTTTGCAAAAATCAAATAGAAAAAATGCAAAATGTGGCAATCTTCAACTTTAATATTACCATTGCTAACCATTACTCTATTTCTCAATACCGTAGAAATGCTACGAAAAGCCAGGGTCACAACGACATGGACAAAGAAGTAGTTGAGGTGCACGGGCTGTGTAAAAAAGTAGAACAACTGATTCGCGTTTGTTTCGCAGAAGTTAGAATCGATATTTCAGCAGTGCACTTTCGAGAACAAGCCTAATTGCCTCTTTTGACGCTTCATAAAAGCTTCAAATTTTTAATTACTCAAAGTGTAAAAAAAATCTTTAAGTGTAGTTCTAAGCAATCGATCTTTTATATAATGATTATTGACAATATTTGTGCGGTTGGCAATTAATACACGACTACTTTATTAAATTAAAGTAATGTAATTATTACAACAATAGCTCCTAGGATGAAGAAAATTGTTTATAAAATACAATATGGAAAATTTTTAATTCGTTGCATTTTGTAATCGCATTTATAATTCGAATTATTACGACAAACATTATTATCATGGGCAATATAATTAAATAATAAATAACCATTAATGCTGACATAATTGAAATCCAAGAATATTGCAAAAAATATCGTTCGCATATAATGTAAAACAATAAATTACAAAGAAAACTACTGCTATATAAATTATAAAAAAACTACTTTTTTTTTTTTTAACATAACTAAGGACAATTACTTTATCCATTTATTTCTTGTACGGAGACACTATATTTACACGTATTATATTTGGCAACACTGAAAAAGA